CCATTCCTACACCGCAAAGCACACCCTCCTTGAGCTGCAGCGGCAGAACGGAATTCCACAGCATCGCCTGATCTGCGACGTTGCAACAAGGTGGAATTCAACCCTACATATGTTAGACCGCCTTTACGAACAGCGAAAGGCCATCACCGATTTCCTGATGTTACAAGCGGACAAAGGTACTCCCCTGTGTAACTTAGATGTCAGCCATTGGCAGCTCATGCGTGACACCTGCCGCTTGCTCAGGCTCTTTGAGGAGGCCACGCTATTCGTGAGTCAGCAGGACTATGGGATGAACGACGTCATTCCTCTGTTGCACGTCCTGGAACAAATGCTGTTAAACAATGGCTGGTCAGGGTGCGGTAGACGTGGCGCACAGATCTCAACGCCACATGACCCCTGTGGGGGCAGGACAGGAAGAAGAGGAGGAGGTAGAGGAGGACATTGGTGCTCAGGAATTATTGAGTGAAATGGGTGGTTTTTCCACTCAGCGGACAGGAGTGGAGGAGCAGGAGCATCTGGTAGAGGAGGAGGAGGAGACAGAGGACAAAGACGCACCGTGGCAGTATGCTGTGGAGATGGAGGCAGGGAGTCCCTCGCATTCCTTGGCACAAATGGCCCATAGCATGCTCGGTTGCTTGCGTAGCGACAGCCGAATAATAACCATCAGACAGAGGGATGACTTTTGGCTGTCCACCTTGTTGGACCCTCGCTACCGTTCAAAAATGGTGGCCTTTTTCACACCTGCTGAGAGGGAGGCCAAAATAAAGTACTATAAAAACCACCTATGTAGTCAGTTGGTCTCTGCCTTTCTGCGCCAACGTCCATCCTCAGACACTGTTGGCCCTGTGCGCTCGCGTTCCGCTGCCATGGCAGCAGGGGAGGGGTGGGGTGGTAGGAGCAGTGGCAGCTCCACCAGCAGCGGCTGCCTCAGTCTGCAGTCGATGATGAGTAGCTTTCTTCACCAGCGCAGTGAGGAAACTACTAACCAGCCGCAGCAGCAGCAGCATCAGGTGGACCTGGAGCAGGACCTCAAACAACAGGCTTGGGCCTACTTGGACAGCACCCTGCCAACCAAGGTAGACAATCCCCTTGACTACTGGGCAACGAAACTTGACCTTTGGCCCCAACTAACTGAATTTGCCCTTGAAAGGCTGTCATGCCCGGCCAGTAGCGTGGCATCGGAGCGCGTGTTTAGTGCGGCAGGAGGTATTGTAACTCCGCGGAGGACACGACTGTCCACCCAAAGTGTGGAGAGACTCACGTTTGTGAAAATGAATCAGGCGTGGATTAGTCTGGATTTCAAACCACCAGTTCCTGACACAACTGACTAAATCCGCCATGAATCATGCCCCAAACATGTTATTAGGGACAAATGGAAGACCTCCACCTGATCCGTACATTTGTATATATATTTTATTGAGAGGCTGCTGGTCGGCCGACTCATGTTTTGCACATTTTTAATGACTTATACTCTGCAGGTCGGGGCCCCTCATGAATTGGGGTTTTTAAATTATTTATACTTCGCTGGACGACCGTCACATGAATTGAACCTTTTTAATGACTTATACTCTGCTGGTCGGGCCCCTCATGAATTGGTGTTTTTAAAATTATTTATACGTCGCTGGACGACTGTCACATGAATTTAAACTTTTTAATTATTTATAGTCGACCAGTTCCAGACCGATGGAATAGCAATTTTTTTAAATATTTATTTGACACGTGTTGTCCATCTCATCAATGAGGTGGACTGTTTATTTTATTGGCCACGGTTTGGCTCCCTCCTGTTTCTTACATTGTTAACTTGTTGTATCGGTCACGGTTTGGCCACATGTTTGGTTGTCTTGTTAAGATTTTCTGTAATGTACACAGTTACGCTTGACTTGTCGACTTTCCACAATCTACTAAGGTATAGCATCGCATCAAAGTTTTTTTTTTTTTTTTTTTGGTCTAAACCATTTCTTATAATGTCAATTTGTAGGATACGCCGCTGTAAGGCGACCTACTTTTTTGTCACTGTGTAGACATCTATTTATAGGCCGATGTTTGGCCAGAAAGATATATTTAGTAATAACCTAGCCGTTCAAGCCGCTCACTGAACACCCTCGGGAATTGCTTTGTATATCTGTCGCCTTAGGGGCCGCTGTCTGGCGACATAATTTTTTGTCACTGTGTAGACATCTATTTATAGGCCAATGTTTGGCCACAAAAATATATTTAGTAATAACCTAGCCGTTCAGGCCGCTCCCTGAACACCTCGGGAATTGCTTTGTATATCTGTCGCCTTAGAGGCCGCTGTCTGAACAGCTCATGAATTGCTTTCTATATGTGTCGCCTTTGAGGCCGCTGGCTGGACAGCTGATGAATTGATTTGTATATATGTACTTATTGTCCGCTGTCCCGGACAGCTCATGAATTACTTTTTGTATATAGCCTTCCAAACCACTCTCAGAATAAGTCATGATATTCATGCTGTGTATAGCCTTATAGGCCAATGGTCAATCAAGTCATGATTGTTATAGTGTGTATAGCCTTATAGGCCGCTGTCTTTACAACTTTATAATTCCATGCAGTATAGCCCTATCGGCCACTTTCTGGCATCCAGTTGCTGTAGCCCCCATCACCACACTGTGCCACGGGCCCCTGTACCGCCTTCTCATACTGCTGCCAGATCCATCCTCTGCCATGTGCGTCTTTGTCGTCTGCTCACGCTGCTGGGTTCCAGTTTTAAACCTAGGCCTGTGTATGGCTTCCGAATACTGCTGCCTCCACCGCCACCCTGCGCCATGTGCCTCTGTCGTCTGCTCACGCTGCTGACGGCTTCCGCTTTTTAACCTAGGCCTGTGTATGGCTTCCGAATACTGCTGCCTCCACCGCCACCCTGCGCCATGTGCCTTGTCGTCTGCTCACGCTGCTGACAGCTTCCGCTTTTTAAACTAGTCCTGTGTATGTCTTCCGAATACTGCTGCCTCCACCGCCACCCTGCGCCATGTGCCTCTGTCGTCTGCTCACGCTGCTGACGGCTTCCGCTTTTTAAACTAGTCCTGTGTATGTCTTCCGAATACTGCTGCCTCCACCGCTACCCTGCGCCATGTGCCCACTTTCGGGTCTCCTCACACTGCTGCCAGGTCCATACTGATTCATGGCCCCCTGTACCAGCTCCTCATGAACGTGGTTCAGCGGGTTTGCATCACTTAACGGCAAATCGTTGACAAATGCTGGGACGTTCAGTGTTGTACGCATTAAGCCAGACACCAAAGGGCAGCACAGACCTGTTATTACTCGCTCAAGCATGGCTGAACAAAACCAGTCTCTACCACAAATTGGACCCAGACCTGCCCAGGGTCTCGTAACTAGATTGCACGGAGGAGTAGAGTCCGTTTATCGGAATTAAATAGACAAAACGCCACACCAAAAAGAGTGGCCATTTCCAACACTTATTCCAGAAAGAGGAACAGCCCGTTTCATATACGGCCCGTAGTCGTTTCACGTCTGCCACATTCAGTCGATTTAAGACGCAAGCTCCACTTCCTGTGGGTCTCTGACCGTCGATATACCTTTAAGTGTCAGCTTTGAAGCTATATTCCCTCCGGAGCACTGACACTGGTGCCCTTCCGTCAACATGCCTTTAAGTTTCAGTTTTTCAACCATATTCCCCACAGAAGCCAAACTCTTGGGTATCCCAGAAGCTGCTCAGCGGGTCAGGGCAATAAAGCTCCCGGTTCGCAGGTTGTTCCGTCTTATGGATGGAAGTACGACGGTATATGATATTCTTCGCACCCACGGCATTACCTCATAAAATTTCTGCATTGCATCTGCAATCACAACGCTGACTTCCCGGATCGCCACTCAGCCATTGGACTCTTGATAGTCGTCTCCCCACACTGCTGCTGGGGGGACTTTTTAACCTAGGCCTGTGTATGGCCTTCAATTGAAGCTGCTTCCGCTCCGCCACTCTGCCATTGGACTCTTGATAGTCGTCTCCCCACGCTGCTGCTGGGGGGACTTTTTAACATAGGCCTCTGTATGGCCTTTAATTGAAGCTGCTTACGCTCCGCCACTCTGCCATGGGCCTCTTGGGTATCCCAGAAGCTGCTCAGCGGGTCAGGGCAATAAAGCTCCCGGTTCGCAGGTTGTTCCGTCTTATGGATGGAAGTACGACGGTATATGATCTTCTTCGCACCCACGGCATCACCTCATAGAATCTCTGCATTGCATCTGCAATCACAACGCTGACTTTCCGGATCGCCACTCAGCCATTGGACTCTTGATAGTCGTCTCCCCACACTGCTGCTGGGGGGACTTTTTAACCTAGGCCTGTGTATGGCCTTCAATTGAAGCTGCTTCCGCTCCGCCACTCTACCATTGGACTCTTGATAGTCGTCTCCCCACGCTGCTGCTGGGGGGACTTTTTAACATAGGCCTCTGTATGGCCTTTAATTGAAGCTGCTTACGCTCCGCCACTCTGCCATGGGCCTCTTGGGTATCCCAGAAGCTGCTCAGCGGGTCAGGGCAATAAAGCTCCCGGTTCGCAGGTTGTTCCGTCTTATTGATGGAAGTACGATGGTATATGATCTTCTTCGCACCCACGGCATTACTTCGTAGAATTTTCTGCATTGCATCTGCAATCACAACGCTGACTTCCCGGATCGCCACTCAGCCATTGGACTCTTGATAGTCGTCTCCCCACACTGCTGCTGGGGGGACTTTTTAACCTAGGCCTGTGTATGGCCTTCAATTGAAGCTGCTTCCGCTCCGCCACTCTGCCATTGGACTCTTGATAGTCGTCTCCCCACGCTGCTGCTGGGGGGACTTTTTTAACCCTAGGCCTGTGTATGGCCTTCAATTGAAGCTGCTTCTGCTCCGCCACTCTGCCATTGGACTCTTGATAGTCGTCTCCCCACACTGCTGCTGGGGGGACTTTTTAACATAGGCCTCTGTATGGCCTTCAATTTAAGCTGCTTACGCTTCGCCACTCTGCCATGGGCCCCTGTACCTTCTCCTCTTGCTGCTGCCAGGTCCAGAGTGTGTCATGGGTCCCTGTACGGCCTCCCATTGCTGCTGACTTCATCGCCAAACTCTGCCATGTGCCACTTTCAGGTCTCCTTACACTGTTGGTGGGTTCCATTTTGTGATAGGGTGCTGTATGGCCTTCCATTGCTGCTGCCTCCACCGCCACCCTGCGCCATGTGCCTCTGTCGTCTGCTCACGCTGCTGACGGCTTCCGCTTTTTAACCGAGGCCTGTGTTTGGCTTCCGAATACTGCTGCATCCACCGCCACCCTGCGCCATGTGTCTCTGTCGTCTGCTCACGCTGCTGACAGCTTCCGCTTTTTAACCTAGGCCTGTGTATGGCTTCAGAATAATGCTGCCTACACCGCCACCCTGCGCCATGTGCCTCTGTCGTCTGCTCACGCTGCTGCCAGGTCCATACTGATTCATGGCCCCCTGTACCGGCTCCTCATGAACGTGGTTCAGCGGGTTTGCATCACTTAACGGCAAATCGTTGACAAACGCTGGGACGTTCAGTGTTGTGCGCATTAAGCCAGACACCAAAGGGCAGCACAGACCTGTTATTACTCGCTCAAGCATGGCTGAACAAAACCAGTCTCTACCACAAATTGGACCCAGACCTGCCCAGGGTCTCGTAAGTAGATTGCACGGAGGAGTAGAGTTCGTTATTGGAATTAACTGTGAGGGACTTTTAAACCTAGTCTGTGTATGGCCTTCAATTGAAGCTGCTTCTGCTCCGCCACTCTGCCATTGGACTCTTGATAGTCGTCTCCCCATGCTGCTGCTGGGGGGACTTTTTAACATAGGCCTCTGTATGGCCTTCAATTTTAGCTGCTTACGCTCCGCCACTCTGCCATGGGCCCCTGTACCGCCTCCTCATGCTGCTGACAGGCCCGTAATCTGCCATGGGCCCCCGTACGACTCCTCATGCTGCTGCCAGGCCCGTAATCTGTCATGGGCCCCTGTACTGCCTCCTCATGCTGCTGCCAGGTCCAGAGTGTGTCATGGGTCCCTGTACGGCCTCCCATTGCTGCTGTCTCCATCGCCACACTCTGCCATGTGCCACTTTCAGGTCTCCTCACACTGCTGGTGGGTTCCATTTTGTCATAGGGTGCTGTATGGCCTCCCATTGCTGCTGCCTCCACCGCCACACTGTGGCTCCACACTCTGGTTTTGGGCCCCGTGACTGCCCAAATGAGTGAAGTGTGCGGTGATTCTAAGATCGACGGCACTCATCTGCATGTCATACTGACTGACAGTATTATTTCTCTTCCCCAGCAGACTCCAAGGGCATTTAAATTAAAGGTACAGTGTTCTGCACTAATATAAAGGCTCTCTGAAGCCTAGAAACACCCCTTTTTATAAGTTAAATTCGCAGCGAATATATTCGGCTCGAAGCGAATTTATTCAGCGAATTCGGCGAATCAGCCGAACCGAATTTTTGAATAATTCGCTCATCTCTAGTTACTATACTGAACCAGATTCTGTGTACATCAGTTTAAGTAAATCTCCCCCAATGTGCGTTAAAGAAATCCAGCTACTGGGAACTTCTACTTTGGGAATTGCAAATACTTACACATAAAAATCAAGAAAGTGTTCTGTATATCTTGGGGAGAACTGGGTAGAGTTTGATAGCACAACTTTGGAATTTAGTCCAGTGCACAGGGAGTCACAAGGATGCTGAATTTCTGGCAGGATAAACAGGTAATTTTCTGTATTTAGCCTGAAAACAGACAATAAAACATGTAAAGATGATCAGCTTGACATATTCTCATTAATGTGTGTTCATGTTTAATTCTTAATTATGTTATACCCACCGTAAGCCTTTCCATAGGGTACAAAATACTCTACTTCTGAATTCTCTCAATAAATTATTGCAAAGAGTACACTTATAGAGGAACTTTACTCCTCCCCCTGCCTCCCAACCCTTATATCCCCTCTTATCTGGTACACAGAGTTCTAAAAACATACTAACCTGCACAGTGGATCCACGTTATCCTGCTGAGGTCTACTATTCAGGTGTGACAACCAGCGTCCAGTGCCACCATCTTGGTCCTCTTCAGCCAATTGCCTCTTCCAGGTTCAGGCAGCCTAGCCCTGATGGGACTGCAGCTCTCTGGGAATGGGCTCCTGTGGCCTACTGGGATGAATAACAAGATTATCCCAAGGAGTTTCATAATCAGCAGGTCAAGATACTCCAAACACCATCCTCCAGGCACATCTCATCCGGATTGAACTCCAGACCAGGACTGATCTGGAGTCTTGATTATTAAACTATCTGGAATACATACAGTATATTTCTATTGCGGTCAAGGATCTGGACGTGATGCTGCATCCCTATCAGGGGTGTATGCATCACAAGGCAAACAAGGCATTGGGGACCAGGTGGGATCCAAGAGAGGCTGCAGGCTGCTTGACAGTGTATGCAGAGCCCGACTCTCATTCCCGGGGATGTTCAGAGCTGTAAAGGTGAGTGGCTTTCTCTCTCTCTTGTCGGAGTTGTGGTGGCCAGTGTATGGTGGTAGTGGAAGGCTCTCTCGGGTGGGGCAGGGGTGTTGTTGATCAATAACAGGCTCTCTCTGTGGTGGTGGTGAGAGGGGGGGGGGTGTTGGTCGGTGTCAGGCTCTCTCTGCAGGGGGGCGGGCAATTTTTTGTGTTGCCTAGGACAGCACAAAACCTAAATACACCACTGATCCCTATATGTATGGAAGGATTTGAACTGAAAACCAGAACTGATTTGGATTCCTGCATGAATATCATACTCTCTATCTTTGAAGCTCTTTGCTTTGGATGTAAAAAAGTGGAGGAGTATATTGGAGGTCTATCACACCTTTTGAACTACTATCCTCATGTCTTTCAGCTGTCCCTTTCTGGATTTCAGAATTTCCACTCCATCAAACTGTATGGAAACTTTTGATTTTACACTACTGGGTTTTCCTATACATGTGCTCCTGATGAAGATGTTTGAAGCAGTCAAAACACGTTGAGCTAACACGTTGATCTTGAATTGAAATGCGATCCGTTAACTTCCCTTTGCAAACACTAGATATGGTGCTATATAACATTTTAATATTTGTATAATACACTTTATGATTTTATGAATTTACTTTGTGGTACCATTTCTATATGCCCAGAAAAAAATCACAAATCATGCTACAAGAATTTTTCTGTTTTTCATGTATTTGAGGAAGTGGGCATATAGGACAGAGAACCTTTATCCTTTATATGTAGTGATAGATGCAGTAGCAGATTTAGATGGACTTGATCTCCAGCTAACACTTTAAAAACTGCTACAGAAACCATTTTTTATTCATTTTTGGATAAGGTTCTATGTAAATAAATAAAAGCTGACCATTATAAGCACCCTTGTCAGTGTTAAATGATTTGTTTTAACCCTCTAGCTGCTACTATTGCTGAGTAGCTTTGTTTGCTAAAGGAAGTTGAAAAATAACAGACTTACTGACAGGATCACCAGGGGAAAATAAAGGGAAAAAGCCTAAAAAAAGAAAAAAAGATGCAGCCACCACATCTAAGGGTTAGTAAGCGGCAACATAAGCTGCATTTTTGTTTTTTGTTTAATACCACGTAAAGTTCTATTGGCCGCAGCACAGTGCCCTGTGGTGGATTTATTTGCCACCGTTCTCTGCCAATCCCTCCACTGGCTTCCAATTGCCCAACGGATTAAATTCAAAACACTAACACTGACGTACAAAGCCGTTCATAACACTGCCCCAAACTACATTACCGATCTTGTCTCCAAATATCACCCTAACCGTACTCTCCGCTCCTCACAAGACCTCCTACTCTCAAGCTCCCTTGTCTCCACTTCCCATGCTCGTCTCCAGGACTTCTCCAGGGCTTCCCCCATTCTCTGGAACTCCCTACCCCAATCTATCAGACTATCGCCTACTCTGCTCACTTTTAGGCGCACTCCAAAAACCTATCTCTTCAGGGAAGCCTACCCTTCCCTCAGCTAATACTGGAACCCTCTACTCTCCCAACCACTCCATCCCCCACAGTTATTACCTTTTGTACCACTATCCCCTCCCTATTAGATTGTAAGCTCCAAGGAGCAGGGCCCTCGAATCCCTCTTGTATTGAACTGTATTGTTACTGTACTGTCTCCCACCATATTGTAAAGCGCTGAGCAAACTGTTGGCGCTATATACATCCTGTATAATAATAATAATAATAATAATTTTGTTGCACCATGCTGCATGTTGTAATTTTTGTCAGCACACAACAGAGCAGCACAGTATTGCGAACTCGCCTTATAGGTAACAAGGCTTTTTGCCTTTTCTTGCTTTACGACTGCACTGGGACTGCACTCGGCTGCCTGGCACAGCCTCAACACACCTGGTGTGAATGGGGTCTCTTAAGGCAAGAACTGCAATAATTAAAGTGTTACTAAACCCACAAAAGTAAAATCAGTCTGTATATGCAGTAAAGCATGCTTGTTATACTCACTGTGGAAGCTAAGGGGTTAATCCTCTGCATTGTGTAAAAAGGATGTTTGATACTGTCTGCTCTAATCTTCCCCTTCTTCTACTGTCCCCAATCCATATCCTGATAGAATAGAGCCTTGGGGGCAAGCTTCACATGCTCAGTTTGGTGTGTATTGCTAGAGGGTGTTTTTTTTCTTGGGAGAGTGCATGTGATCAGCACAGTGCCAATCAGCACTGTCCAGACAGAGGGGCAGAGGCCCTGCAGCCTCATAGGACAAACGGGAGAATGAAAACTCCTACAAGCTTTAACCAGTGCTCTGCTGGACGCTGATAGAAGTCACAAGACTGCTCTAACTGCTGATGAGAAAAGGTATTTAGCAGTTTATATTTACTACAATAATTGCATTTCCATGTTGTGTGTACTGTGGGAGAGCAGATATAGCGAATGCAGGGTCCTGGGTTTAGTAACACTTTAAGCAAAATATCTGCTCACTAAACTAGCCTAAATGTTCCCTTTAAGTAAAAACAAAAGTACAAAATGAAAAACAACACTATATTCCATTAAAGCAAACTTTAGCTTATTCTATTAAATATTTATTAGGACCTCTAAATATGTATTCTATTCTTTCATCTAGGCAGTGGCAAAGCATTTCTTTTTAAATTAGCTGCTATGAAGCAAATGAGATTTGTTCTGACCCCGTCCTAGATTAAAGTTATCAGAAATAAACCCAGTGTGTAGGTGTAGTTTATACAGAGGAAAAACACACAAATTAGATTGTAATGGAAATTCGGTAGCCAATACGAACTTAAATAATTTTAGATGCTTTCATCTGTTTAAGTGCAATAGTGTTTCTGCTTTAATGAAAGAATTTATACAACAGCTATATATGTTTCTTAATTGCCTATCATATTAGGATGCAGCAAAGCAATTCGTGTTGATTATGTTTTGTTATGTTTTGTGTGAAAGGGTAGATGCAGTTAAAAATAGACAAGTCCCACCAACCCCCTCTTCCCTATTGTCTGTCTTATCAAATTGTAAAATAGGACTGCAGTGGCTTGTCCAGGACCGAGCAGTGCTTCCATCCTGCAGTGTCATGGCAGTCCTGTGGAATGTCACATTTATAAGGGCTCTTTCATATTGGTGCAGCACCTACCTCCTTCTGAAAAGTGATCTAATCTCACATTGTACACCTGATCACGTTCAACCCAAAGGCAAAGAGGGGAACCACAAAACTTACTTGGCAAGGTCTCACACACCGTGGTTCCAGGCAAAGTTCCTAGAAGGGTTCCATTCCCCAGCTGGCCCTAAAATAGAGACCCAGCTGCTCAGTAGGGTGTGCCAAGTGCCATGCCACCTTGCCTACGGAACTAACGAGCCATCATCTTCCAAGCTGGCTCCTCCTCTTTCCCCATTATTTTACACTTTTCATTGTCGCCATGAGGACTAAGCCGAGAGTTGATTCTTCAATCCCAAGATCACAGGAGCTCTCTCTCTCTTTCCCTCTTCATTAGAAATCAGACCAGATGTTGTTTCTAGCCAAAAATTCTTTCACTGAAGTAATTCAATTGTTTATGCAGATTATAAAATTTTCAATAAAATTCACAGACTGGTGTAATTTCCAAGCAAACATGGCATTTATAGTTATCCCTTCTTAAGTGCTG